GCTCGGCCGCTGCCGAGAGACCTCCCGGCCTGTCCCCGCCGCCCCGCAGGGCCCCGCACAGCGCCCGCGCTCCAGGCCCAGGAGGGGTAAAGGGTGAGAAAGAGGGAGAGGAGGCTCCAGTGCGGGGCTGTGCCCCCAACCCCATCCACCCCCACCCTAGAGGGGCACTGCACCGACTGCTTAGGACTTGCTATAAAGGAATAATAATTAAAAAAAAAAAAATTGTTTTTAAATTTATTTTCCTCACCTGTCTAACCCCAAACTACCTTTGATAAAGACTGAAAAGTAATGTAATATGAAGAAAAACAAAAAAAATCTAGGGAAAGGAGCGGAGCAACGGGATCAAACACCTACAGGTGATGGCTGTAGAAGGGAAGGGACCCGTGTCCATCTATCAACAACGAGGGAGGCGGCCCCCGGGCAGCACAGGAGCCAAGCCCCATCGCGCTCTGCTCTCAAAGGCCTGAGCTACCAAGCGTTGCCCCTCAAGGGAGCTGGGAATGCTCCTCCAGGCCCTGCGCTAGGAGTAAAAAAGTAACAGTTCTTGTATTCTTCCTGTTAGCTCACTTGGTGTCAACCAGGAGAAAGTGGTGATATGGGTACATATCTCAAGTACACTTCAGCTGAGGGCTTTGGGCAGAAGGTAGGTGGAGGAGAAAAGGCACAAGCATGGGCTAGAGATGAGTGCCCCAGCAGCTAAGCTTGGAAATACCATGGGGGAAGGTGAAAACGGACACCTTCATTAAGAGAAGAAAGTGGTGAAGCATAGCAGAAGGAGGGTGGGGAAGAAGCAGGCATGATGTGAGGGTTTCACCTGAAAAGATGCTGAAACAAGGCAGCAGCAAGGAAGGGCTGGCTTCAGACCCCACCAGCTCCCTGTTGAACACAGCAGGACAAGGGCAGGAGCAGTAACAGAAGGGTCTGCCTCCAGGGCAGAATAAAGCCAAGGTTGTAGCCTGTGACCTCTGGTAGGACTCGCTACCCTGGCAAGCAGCAGGAAAAAGCAGGGTTAAAACCAGTTGGTATCAGGTAGGCATTTTGTGCATTTATACATCTGTAATATTTCATTAGTAATGTAAATCACTTCCATTTTGTAATGAGTAAGATTTGTGAAAGTGTACTGCATTCTCATAGCATCCTCTGGCATTAGTTAAAACATTTTCTAGCATAATCTACTTTCACAAGTATAAAGAAAATAAGCTCTTTGCACTTCAGAGCAGAAGAAAAAGGATAAATATATTTAGGCAAAAAAAGGTTCAAGTTTTAAAGCTTTTCTTCATAATAAAGCATGTCACATTGCTGCATGACTAGTAGGACTTCACTGAAAGAAGAAATAACTAGATTAAATTCTGTTTTGGACAAATGGAGTATTCAATCTCTCTCCTTACACAGAATGAAATTACATGCATTTGCTATCACCTACAGATGTCTGTTCTTTCACACAAACCACTGCATGACTAATGTGACTTGGGCCGAAGAACATACTCAAAATCTGCATCCACCTGATAATGTTAGTCTCTAATTTCAAGTTAAGAAAAACATTAACAAGCCTTCCCTTCAAATCTTCATATTATGAACCTATGTTATTTCTCTGGTAAACTTCCTCAGTGTTTCACTTGTATTCTTAAAAACATTCATATTGATGGTTCAGCTTATAGTATCCCCCGCACCTTGTTACGCCTGTTTCCACCCTCTTATGATTTTATTATGTATGTAGGTATCTGGAGTATTGGATCACCTCTTGTCTGTTTCCAGAATAGAAAGTAGACAGAGATACTTCAGTCTTATTTAGACAGACTTGTTCTCCAGACTTCTGGAGTCCCTTTTCTGAATCTTTTTTGATCTTTTGATCTTCTTTAGTCACAGAAAATAAAACTGGAGTCAATATCCCTGTCATCTGTAGCAGAAACAAAACAAAACCACTAATAACCAAAACAAAAATCCCCCTCCCCCCAAAAAACCCCCAAACACCCCAAACCCAATGAAAACCCCTTAAAACCGGTAGCTTATACTCCAGGTTGTCAGGTGAACAAACATTGTCCTCCCACACATGCTGCCACAGAGAACGTACATCAACAAAGCACACCTAAACATGTATGGACAGGCTTATTCACAGTCACAATTTGTATCCTCTCCCTTATTGTAAACCTTGTTGTTTATAGAAAACCAAAATCTAAAAAAAACAAAATAATTCAGAGGAAACCCAAACATTTTTTTGTTTCATTTTTAATTTGGCTTCACGCTGAAAATTCAATTTACAAGCCATTCATAAGGAAAATGTCCAGTTGGGCAAAATGAGCCATGATTGTATACTGTACATCAACACTTGTAGTGTATCATTTAGTTCCCTTCTGTAAATCTTACAACTTACATAGCATAGTTTAAGCATCTACATCATATGGCTCGCTTCATCACACACTATAGTCCATTTCAACCTATCAGACAACTAACAAGAAAAGAATGCTCAGATTGAGGTATTTCCTTTAAGAATTGACTGATCACTGGTATTCAGAGGTAATGTTAAATCATATAATTTTAAACATTGAAAAATGTACAAAAGCAAGTTCATTTTTAAAAAATATTATCCTCAGTCTTCCATGCATGTTAATAAAAAATATAAAAATCAAATTTGTAGCACTGAAGCTATACTCTTCATTCAGCAAAAGTACTTCCACAATTGGAACCACAAACTACAGTCATCTTAAGTACACTACTTGCTTTTGCTTTTCAGTTATGAAGTATAGCCAGTTCAGTGCAAAAGTAATAGTCTATGTACACATACCATAGGAGCCATAGGAGGGAAATTTACAGCAGAAGGTACGCGTTCAGATTATTATTATCTAGTAGCACTATATATTGTTACAGATTTACACTGCATATCCAAGGGCTATTATAATAACAAGCTTGCAGCCAATATGCGTCTTTAAACACACCAGGTCTGCTTGAGCAGCCTTGAAGTCAACCCAAGTTATACCACTGATGGAATAAGCACGTAATACCTTGCAAGGGAGTTCCTACAGAACAGCTTCCTGCTCTGTCAGCACAGGTTTGCAACTAAAAGCATCCTCTTCATAGCAGTGCCTAACTTGGATTCAGTAGCGTTAAGAGAAAATTCCAATATTTGATCATTTAAAAGGTTAACTTTTTTGCTTCTGCATTTAAATTCTCAAGTGTGCTCAAAAACATAACAATATTTTCTTCCAGAATACACAAATTGTATAATCAATGCAAGTTTAACAATAATTGAGGAAACCAAAAACTTTGTTTTCCTGAATTATTTCTCAGCTTGCTGGTAACTTGATTTTATTAACCCAAAGCCATGAACTAGTACCTGCAATCAAATTAGAAAAGTCTTGCACACCTGGAGAGATGCTGGAATTACAAAAAGTGTTAGAAAGTGGTCCCATTGAACAGATGCCAAATACTTTCAGCACAATGCCGCAACATTGAAGTTGTATAGTACATAATACAAAGTTAGCAGATGTTCAGTATTGGTCCTCCTCCAGGAAACAAAATCTATCACTTCTAAAGAAATTTACTTCTGACTTCTATTTCTAACATTACTGATTTACATTATTACCCTTAGAGCAATTTGAGGAAGCAATATAAACAAATCACCAAATACAAACAACCATATAGACAAGCAGCTGCAAATATTTTGCTTTTTGTCTAAGTATATACAATTGCTAAGGAGAAATGTTTAACTTAAAGAATTCTAATCCACATATTTAAAAATACAATTTCATTTTTAGATGTTTACTTAAAAACTGGTTTTGTAGTCTGAAAAGCACAACACTGGCTAACCTAAACATCCCTTCTGAAATATAAGAAATATTTTGCTTGAACTTCCTTATAAAAGAAAACATAGGACAAAAATATATACTTAGGGCATACAAGATCTTTACAAGTTTTTTTTAGCATTTAAAATACAAAATTGTCTTCATGCTGGATAGCAAAGAAAAGACATGTATTTGGGTTTTCCCCGTATACGTTCATAGACTTAGAAATAACCTACTGACAGATGAATTTCATTTCCAGTACCATGGTAGGATGAAAAGTGCCTGAGCTTCAGCTTTCTTCAGTATCCACGAGGAGACTTTGTTTGCTATCGCATTTATAGAGGCTGCATTCAGAACTTGAAAGCAGTCACACACTGAAAGTGACATAGCGAGTCAGAAGTCAATCCAATTTAAGGCTTTATTGTACTAGATTTCTAAATTTAATTTCTTCTTGTCCATAGGAACAAGGAGAATCTCATAAGCTCCTTCAGATCTGCTGTTACCTGAACACACCTGCAAATGGTTTAAGTGTGGGAAAACAAGCCCTTACCTAATAGCAGGCACAAGCTAAAGCAGTACATGGGCCCTTAGTTTTGGGTGGTATTACCAGAACAGGCCTGGAATATTCACCTGCTGTATATGGCTCAGGGAGAAAAGTCCATGAATGTCACTTGAGAGGCAGCGAGGTCTCCCTCAGGCTGCAACACACCTACAGACAGCATGAGCAAGAGCAAGGGATACAAAAACTGAATTCACCAGCCCGAGTCAGAAAAGGTCCTTTACTGTGGGAAAAGGCCTGCTGCACTGTGAAAGCTTTGCCTTGTGAAATCTAGCCTTGATGGGCTTTTCTGATTGCTGGTTCAGGGCCAGAAGTTCAGCCTGATTTTTCTCCAGCTGGCCCTTTGCCTCAGAACTGGCACTCTCAAATAATATTAAATTATCAGAATATTGCTAAAGTCATTATGACTTTTCTCTTGCGTCTGTCATTTTTGGTCACAGTGAAGAAACGTAAATTTAACACTACATTGACAGATTATCATACAGCACCTTTTCCAAGATGCTCAAGCTAACCTCAAATGAGCTCTGATGTTCATACGGCCCTGTGTAATTTAGCTCAGAATAAAGAAGCATGACAACTATGTTGGTAAAAAAACCTCAAAAACCCCCCCCCCCCCCCCAATTAATTAACAGGATTAATTTACTCAGGTGCAATCTGTGATAAGGTGATTTTACTGTTTCCATTCCTGGAGACTGATCATTTGAAACTGCAAATGCGTCTTTACTGGTTGCAGATGGCCTCCAAATCAGCCTGCACAGGAGTACTCTGCTCTGCCACTTTGCTAAAGAAAATGGAATAACCAGCCACTGCCATCATGTAACTAGTAAAATTATTTTTCCTAACAAACTTGAAAGACAATCTAGGCAGAGTGTCAACTGCTGCAAAAAGGTCTCAGCCTGTTTCACAGAAACATAAACCCTCCATTTTGTAAGCCTCTTAAATCCTCTGCTCTCTTGGTATCACCCACTTCAGTTTAATCCCATTACACATGATAAAGCACATCGTACCATCTGGGGAAAAAAACAGCTGTTTTCTAAAAAACAAATCTATCCTCCACTTGTCAAAGTAATTATGATCTTGAAACAAACTTGAAAGGTTTCCTAGGGAAAGAAACTGGCTTAACTTGATCACTATGAGATGCAGGAAATAGAGACAGAACTCCAGGCACATTTAACGGCTGACCTGTTTGCTGCTGCATTCTCTCAGTAGTTCCACCTCAATAATATATAATTTATGCAGGTTTTGATCACAGTGTGTTGGTAACTAACATGGACACCCAGTTCACTGCCTTAGCTGTAGCACAGAACAACTGCGTTTGTTCCTCCGAGATGGAGCTGGAGGTCGTCTCACAAGGTTCCTGTCAGGGTTTGAATAATTTTTTCTAGTCTTCCAAGGCAAAAGACAGGGAGAACAGATGAAACCTCAGTGGCTGTGCTGCCAGGGACCTCGACATTACTTGGATACACAATGCTGCAGTACCTCCAAGAAATCATCCTCTGACTGAAGAACAGCTGGCTTGATTTCTAACTACCCAGGACTGAAAATTACCTGAATGACAGTGTCAGTCATCCTGCTCATCTGTGAAACAGATCTCAGTTTTGCTGGACTGATTAATAATTTAATTAACTAATTAGCAGTGGCACTGATGGCTAATTCTTATTTTCCATTTTGAACTGTTAGACTTACATTTCCTTCTTTTCTGAAAAGGATCTAGACATATTAATTCAATAATTTTTTTCCAAATTAGCTAAAGTTCAGATACCGAAGTAGTAAAACCATGAAGTTCACAGGGAAACTCAGGGCTTCAATAAGTTTAGGAGCCTAACTTCAGTTTTGTTAATGTAAAACTCTTGGCCAACATATTTGTAAACTCTTACTTCTAAAACACTCATGAATGTACTGCTAGAAAGAAAAAGAGGCTTCACATTAAGCAGAATGCAACATTTCATAAGGTCTTATAACCTACCCTCTAACCTAAAAGCAAATTAATCTGTCTTTGGAGTTTTAAACCAGATTTTTTTTCTGCTCCATTCTAGTTCAGTCTCATAATATATGCAAAACTGTCCTTACAGTGCTTTTCTGAGATCATGGGATCTACAGCATGTGCTGCAACTTTTATTCTTTAAGTACTTATTTTTAAATATTATTTTTGAAGGAGCAGAGAGCAGAATATGACTAAAATAGTTAACATGAAAAGCTGTACTTACCACATGGTAATATAAAAACAGGAAGAAACAATTTAATGGCAATACCAATGATGGCCTTGTAAGGGAGCTCATAAATACAAACACACCTGCTTTAAAAAAATTTATCAAACTATCCAGATGTTGAAGTGCAACAATCCCTTTTCCAGAAAAACGTGTACTACATTTTATGAATAAAAATATTCCAACCAGCCCAGTGCTTAAACTAACTAACTGACTTAGTTTGCATGAAAATATTAAGCAACGGCCAAGTACAAAGCTTAGCTGTTTATTTCCAGCAGCTTTGCCTCTGAAGTGGTTGCATCACTTCCCTACTGCACGTGTCTCCTTTTCAACTTTTGTGACCTAAGGATTTATACCTTCTAAGTAGGATTAGCAAACATACATACATGCCCAGTTGCTTTTTAATCATAGATTATTCTAGCTACAATAAATGCATTAAAACATACAGTGTAATTCACTGGTATAAAATTAAGTGTACAACCTAATTTCTCCATAAAGCTTACCAATTGCTGATAATGCCTTTTAAGTGTATCTGCACTTGCCTTACTGTGATAGAGACAGTAGTTTAAACATGCTTTGCACCTCCTAAACATTTGTTTGGTTTTACTGGGGTTTTATTATGATTGAAGAAATATAACTGAAGCAAAAAAAAACCCCATCACTTTTTAGGAATCTTGGATTTTGTGGGTTTCTGTGTTACTTTAAATACATTCGAAATAGAGGCGTACTTGTTCAAGCATATCAGAAAAGCAAAGCTTTGGCTGGGGATCTCAGACAATATGTAAAAATTTAGTCTGGTGCAAGAGTTCTACTGGCAAGGGATGGCAGCATTATATAAAAGTAGCAAAAAGCTCATCAGAAATGTAACATGCCTTCACACCCCTGCATTTTTTTTTGGTGTGAGATTCATTTAAATTGTTGCAAAGAACTGAAATAATTTCTTATACATCTCCCTGTAAATTTAGGGTCTGTTGATATCACCAGTTAAAATAAAACGTGTTTGTAAAAATCCGTATTTTAATTGAAAGCATTTACATGTCAACGTTTGGTGAAGGGGAAAACAAGCTTTCACTTCTACCCTGACACTGCAGCAGGCCACTGAAACTTGACTGTCACAACTGTTCTACAGTCAGGTGCCCTTTAAAAAGGCTGCTTATGTGGAACTACTAAAACATTTCAGCAGCTGGAGTTTGATAGATAAGTTGTAATGAACGTTGCTGCAGTAATGCAGTATGTTACAGGTCTCAGCCTCAGTAAAGTCTGTTTACCACCACATGGCAATGTGGCTTTTCTGTCACTTCAAGGCAGTCTAATAATAGCCTTATATTCTACAGATGCTAAAATCACCTGAATTATATTCATTAATCTCAGCTTTTGTGACATTATGCATGATCTAAAGTTTCCATGCAGGCTGGTCAGGGCTTCGCCGTATCATTCATCCTATTACACCTCTACCTTGTTCAACAATCTCACAAAAGAAGGAACATCGCAATTCATTACAGAATCTAAGTGCTGTTTTGTGGTTTGGAGGGGTTTTCTTTGTTTAAGTGGTTGCTTCCACCAAGAGTACCTTGCTCACCAAGGAAACAACGTGCTGGTCACTGGCCTTCTTCAGCAGCAGCAGCAGCTCTGGACCAAACTCACCGATGCTCACGGCTCCCAGTGCCTCTTCACCAGGCAGTTGGTGTGTAAGGGCCTGTCTGCTGTAGGCTGCAGTGCCCTTCAGCCCAAACACTCTGCATAGCTTAGGTGCACACAAGTGTAGCTATTACACTCACCACGATGTGAACACATCTCCCTCACCAAAACAAATGAGAAACCAAATGAACCCTTTGGTTTTCAGAAGGCAGATCCCCATGTTACACAACCATACATGCGAGTTCAGCACACTCATATTCAGTCAGTTTGTTTCTCTCTTTCACAGGTGTGGACAAAGCACCTCTTCTTCTAGAGCAGCTCTCCCCTCAAAGTTGCCCATGTGATACTACACTTACCTCTTCCTTCTTTTCAGACATGTGTCTCATGGAACTCCAGCTCATTCCCCGCACTGTGAGATTCTCACATTCCCAAGGTCACATACAAACAAGAGATAGCTTAGCCAGCTTAAGTCACAAGGCATAAAGAGTCTTGTAGAGATGCGACAGGCCCAGACTACAGCTCATGTGCCTTCCCTTACATACCAACTAAAATACATACTGTATAATCACAGAAAGTAGACCTCAGGACGTATCCCTATAACCCTGGGGCACAATCAACAAAATCAAGTGTCTCCACCTTAGCTGTCTGCCTGTTCTGTTTTCAAAACCTCCTGTGAAGAAAGGTTCCTCAACCCACCAGAGTAACCCATTCTCCTTACCTTAACTAGGTGTAAAGAAATTCTCCCAACACTTAAGCTGCCTTTGAAATGAATAGACTGTATCTACCACTAATGTGGAAAAAAGACTGTTCCTATCTTCTCTTTAGCAAATTTTTCATATTTGAAGACTGTTTTCACATCTTTCTTCAATCTCCTCCTTCTTTGGATTAAACAATACTTTTGATCTCTAAGGACTTTCTGTCCTCCATCCAGCTACTCCTTATTGTTCTCAGGTTCCTCAACATGGACAGGTACTTCAGGTAAGGCCTTACCATACCTTGGCAACACAGAAATACCACCATGTTTCTCAGAGGCTACACTGCTGATGCATCCCACTACAATGAGTATCTTTTTTGCAGCAATGATCTAACAATGCTCAGTTTGTCATATTCTACACCATTATTGCCCCATGTTTTATGCAGCAATACTTACTCCCTCCTCTTCATGCAGCTGACTATTTCTACCTAAGTGTAGTTCCTCACATGACTTAATTTTCCAAACCAGTTCTCCTATTTTGTGATCAGTTTCTATTCAAATCTTGTCTGCCAGTCTGCTGCAGCCCTGTCAGCCCAGCATGCATTACCTAGATAGAGCAAAAATTTAATTATTACCTCCAAAGGAGGACTTACCTCCACATAGCCCACAGAAAGCATAATTTCTTACATTTTTTTTCCCATATCCTTTCTATTAATGCCAGTTTTGGTTTGGAGACTTGCCACATACAGTTAAGGATTTCTAAGGACACATTCCAATATCCTCATGAGCTCTAAACCACCTCCTATTTAAAAAAGTTATAGAAGCATTTGCTAATAAGATTTTCTTTTGTTAAAATTCCTTCCTTACAAATCACTCTAACATGTGGAAGATTCAAATCTCAACAGTTTTCCAATCACAAAACCATCATATTTTAGCACATATTTCAGTAATAGAAATGATTTTAAAGTATTTTTGTTTGTTTGCAAGTAGAGTTGCCATCAGAGTTCTTTTGGAACAGAGCCCTCCCGCCTACTCCTTGAGGGTTTTGTCACATTTACTAATCAGTGAAGCTCTGTGGTTTTATAATAATCTAAATTTTTCTCTGAGACCTCCACTGGTAATTAAGGCATCTGGCTTTACAGAAGATAAGAAACATTACTAATTGCAAGTGTTTTTGATTGTTTTGTTGGTTTTTTTTAACAACAAAAGTGGCTTAGGTTGTTTTGTTGTTTTTTAAACACTTCTCTTAAGCTCCATATACGTTATATGCAGTATATGTAATGTTGCTATAGAGATGTAACTAGCATTTCTTCAGGATGTTCTGCAACTTGTAGCTGGCTCGGTCTCTGAAGTAACTGCAACCTTTTCAAATCTGTGCTGATACAACAAAGTTTTCATAATACGTTCCATGCTAAATTATCTGTGTACACAAGCTTGCTACAAAATGTGAATCTGTGATGCCTGATAAACCTAGATTAAATACAATTGTGTAAACATTTAAATACTACGTGGAAACGATTTGAATTGATTGTAAGAGAAAAGCACAAACAGTTTGTCATGTATTTGCAAACAGTATGTGTCATGTCAGTTTGGAAAAAAAAAATAAATCACTTTTAATTGCATCCAGAAGATTACAGTAGAAAAGTGTTGGGGTGAGAGATAAGGGCCCTTTTCATTCTACCATGGAATAGATTGAAAGAGAAACAATTTTGTCATTCAACAATAAAAAGTAATCTTTAGCAAGTTTTTGCATTATTGTTTCTAAACTGTTCACTGAAACCAAAACAAAGGGCCAAAATATGCTTGCCTTGCTCAAGAGAATAATCCCACCAAAATTAACAAGACTGACTATGCAAATATGGACAGCAAATGTTTGGCCCCAAATAAACATCCCCATAACTAGCAAAAGCACTAATCACCAAAGTGCACTTAACACCATAGTAGCTACAGTTTCTTTATACATGCACAGTTTGTGCGACACTTTGTACATGAAACTAGCCAATGGAATATAAATAACTGTGCCGCTTCCTTTTAAATATGAACATTAATAATGAAACACATTCACATTTTTGCCTTTCAAAGACCTTTTTGAAAAAAATAAAAACACCTTTCCCAAAGTAATCTGGAACATGTTGTTAAATATAGCACATATGATTCAAAGAACAGTATTAAGGTAGAAGAACTTTCACACACAAAACCGGTATTTGCTCTATAGTTGGAGTGACTTATGAAAATCCCAAGAAAAGACAATCCTCTCACCAGGAGAGGAAGGTAACAGTTGTAGTGTTAATTCAGTTTCTTCTGCAGGGGCTTGTTTTTATCTTCAGCGTTTTCAGGGCTGAAGTCAGTACAGATACCATTAGGAGCGGAAAGAGATGAAGTCTCCAAGCCACTCTCAGCTCCCATCTGATCAGCATAGAGATAGTCTTCTGCAAAGTGTGGGTGCAATTCAGCAAATCTGTAGAAGTCATCTAAAAAAAAAATTGTTGTTACACAGAATCAGCTCTTTGAAACAGAAGGACGCTAAATTTGAATACTTACACATATATAATCACATGATCACTTTGGAGAAAAATAGCAGCAGTTAGCATAATGCTATCCCCATAGCTTGTTTTAGCTTCTCAGCAGAAGTTTACCACATCTCCAGAGCTGAGATGCCGCAAAGTTATCTAAGCCCTCTTCAAACACTTCAGACCAGAACTTAGCTCCTATGGTGAAGGGGTAAACAGACTCAGATTTGCACTAAAATGCATGAGGAGCACCACATGCCCTGACATAGCATCTCACTGTTCACTGGGGAAGGGCAGAAGCCCTCCAGCTGGGGAACAATGAACACTAAGAGTGGTCATTTCTTAAAATCTGGGAAGTCTTTTGCAAACATGCCTTTTAATGCTCTGTACTCATAATTCTCTTCAACCTAACAGCAGCTGTCAATGCTGCCTTCTGCTCTCAAGATTTCAGCGTTTCAAAACTCCTAATATTTTAGAGAATATTGTGAGAAGATAATGAACTTGTAACATATTATGAAAAAAACTGATTTTAATGTTGGATACTAAGAAGTCAATAAAAAGAGAAAGATTAGTTCTTGAGGGACTGGGGAATCCTTAACATTAAAAAGTAACATTCTGTGTTAAAAGTCAAGACTTTGAAGCCTTGTCACAATTTGCCCATATGATTGTTTATTCAGACATGATTTGAACACAAGATACTGTACAGATTCCAAGTCATAAGAAGCTATTCTTATAACGTACACTGGAAGAAGCTGGATGTGAACATTATCACCAAGTCAGTCACCTACAGTGTATCTATCACACACAGCCCACTCAAATTCATGGTGTTATCCCAGAAGAGCTCATGATCAGATGATGCTGTGAGTTCCCTGGCATGCAGTGCAAACGACTCCGTTCAGAGGAGTGACGCCCAGTTCCTTCTGGCACAACTGGGCTGGTGTGGAAGAAGGGAACTACCACAGCTTTCCCTCTCTGCCACCCTTCTCTGAGACAACACATTTCTCTCAATATTGCAAAGGGCAAGGGAATGTAATTTGGCTCACAAAGGCACTGAAGTTGTAGGTCAACCCTGCCTCTGAACTGCTGCAAAGGGGTAGGTAGGAAGAATGCAGTAAACATAACTTCATCCCTCTGCATACAAAAACTGGATATCTTTTATTGACAGTTTATATGGACCTAAAGTATTTTGCACACTGTAGCTTCAACAAAAGCTCTTGGCGTTCAGGCCATGAAAACCAATACTACTATCTACGTTGGGAAACCTGTATGTACAACAGAATGATTGATCACATAAATGATACAAGTCTTGCGGGGGTGGGGAAGAACAACTTAAATGCTTGAAAATGTATACAGCAAAAGTTTTTCTTTCAATAATATTTAATGCAAGTTCAACTTTTTTAAAAAACCTCATATCAAGGAACGTGATGCATCTGACCTTTTCGAAGAAGGAAATGTAGAACTTTCTTTTATACTGAAAATATTTAACAGGGGTAGTAGTTGCAGTAATATATTAGAAATGCTTGAGTGCAAACTGATCCATCAGAATCAGTTAAGCACATTCAGCAAATCCAATGGAGTATATTTTTCTGCAGCTAAAAAGGAGAGAGCAAATAGCTATCAACCTTAACTGGATCTGGCCTGCAGCAGAACCATGAAAGCAACTGTGAAGCATTGGTCTGGAGGAAAAGATAACCGTAGTCATTTACTTCAGAAAAAAAATGTAATTTTACCTCCTGTCCCTACTTAGAAGAAAGAGACAAAAAGAAGGAAAGAACCCAAAGTGGAGTTCTTTAAGACTGCTGTCTATACTTTTACATTACATATGCATATGTACTGCAAGAACTTCAAGAGGTTTTTCTCCTGCCTTTGCAATACCCTCCCACTACTTGATGCTCCTGACGGAAGCTTTATGTTCATGCATCTCCCCTAGTTTTTGTTCCCCCTCAGCTATAAATTACGTGATTGTACAGGAACTTAACATTATAATCCTGTAGTTAATATAGTTAAGGATACTATGTTTTAAAGAACAAATAATTCTTCCTTCTCTGAACGTTCATCTATATGGATATTCATAATTTTGGCAAAACCCCCTTTTTTCTTGTTACCAGCAAGCAAGGCAGAGTCTTCAGAACACTTTCTCACAGTCATCATTTGTCTATCAAAAGCAGGTAGACAGCTTCTTAGAATTTGCGATGCCCTCCTACAGAATGTATTCAAATTCTCCAGAATCATGTCTTAAGATGAAGAAATCTTGCCTCTTTCTAGATTACAGTGAAAGAATGAGCTTTAGAATCAAGGTGCATCTAAACAGTTAAGGCAACTGCTTAAAAGCACACTGCTTAAAAGAATGGAAACAATACACATATCTTTGTGTATTTTTGAACATGTGACAAAAGTCTGGACTTCTAACAATTCAGATCTAACATAATCAATGTAGTTATAAAAACCTCAATTTTGCTATCAGCTCTTCTGTTTACCTGCAACCTGAGCTCTACCTCTGGGATGAGATCTCTGGCCTCAAGGACTCTGATATATGTGCAGCAATGTAGGTTTGATAGTTTGGATATTTTATTTTTGTTTTTACAAGTAAGACCGAAGACTTAATATTCCTGCTTCACATGCTAAACACCCTAGAAAGAAGGAGCTTGTGGGCAGACCCTCTGCTGTGTATATCCAAAGTAATGTCAGTACTCTTCCACTAGATACAAAGTTTTGATTTCTCAGAACTTGCCTGGACAATGACAAAAAAAGGTGCAGTTTACAAATTTTCTACCTCTCCTTTGTCAGTATTTAACTGCAATAAATTGAGTATGTGAAAAGTTGCACATATGCTCATGAAAGGCAAGAGATTGCATACTTAGAGAAAGAACTTTCAAGATAGAAATGCAATACTAAAAGTTCATTTTCATCTTCTAATTCTTTACCACAATAAACTGGACATTTATTCTTACTATTAGCCTTTCAGATACGTTAAAATCTCGGTGCAATGTTTACATTATGAAATGAGCACTTCTCTCAGAAAAAAGATCCAACAAAGTTTCAAAGAAATGATGTAAACACCATTATACTTTGTGTAGCCTCACAAAAGACTACTCTTGACTGCAGGAAATAAAATAGTAAAAATGAGAGCTAAGCACTTCAGTGGCCACTGCTGTGGCTCAGTGGCATAGATTTTCATGTGATGGGAACATACCATGATCACTCATGGGTAAAGTGCAGGTTTAAATGCAACTAAGTACTATTAAAGATTAGTATTAAAATATTAATTCTTTGGTAGCTCACATGAACTGGTCTGAGTTCACTTGCACACAATTTCAAATGTAGCCATTCTCAAACAACGAAGTGTGCCAAAATTAGAGTTCTGCTATGCTTACCAGCTTTGATTCTGTGCTGGTATTTTTGAAGCTGGTGATTGGTGGGGAGGTGGTGCAGAGAAGAACTGAGTCACCACCCAAATGAGTTGGGAAAGGAGCAGAGATGTGCAGGAAAAAGACAGTAACACAGGATGGACATGGAAATGCTGGGGACATTACAGACAGAGAGGTACAGAAAGGAAAGGGGTAGCACAGCAGGAATCAAGGAGGCAAGATGTAGCAGGGAAAAAGGGGAGGGTGGTGGCAACGATTCTCATTCCAATAATTCTAAAACAGTTCTACAGTTGAAGCTTTAGCACATGTTGTGTGATTGAAACATAGGTATTACTAGTTGTCCTGGTTTCAGCTAGCATAGAGTTAATTTTCTTCCTAGTAGCTGATACAGTGCTGTGTTTTGGATTCAGTCTGAGAATAATGTTGATAACACACTGATGTTTTAGTTGTTGCTAAGTAGCACTTATCTTAAGACAAAAACTTTTCAGTTTCCCATGCTCTGCCAGCAAGCAAGTGCACAGGAAGATGGGAGGGAGCACAGTCAGGACAGCTGACCCCAGCAAGCCAAAGGGATATTCCATACCACAGGACATCATGCTCAGTATATAAACTGGGGGGAGAGACAGACAGGGGGTGCCAATCACCACTCGGGCTGGCTGGGCATCAGCCAGCACGTGGTGAGCAACTGCACTGTAAATCACTTGTCTGTCTTGGGTTTTATTGCTCTTTTTGTTATATTCCTTTTCATTACAATTATTACTATCATTATATATTACTTTATTTCAATTATTAAACTGTTCTTATCTCAACCCACAGTTTTACCTCCCCCCCACCCCGCCACCAATTCTCCTCCCCATCCCACCAGGGAAGGAGAGGAGTGAGCAATGGTTGCATGGTGCTTAGTTGCTGGCTAGGGTTAAAGCACACCACTACTGTAGAAATTGTGATTTACTAACACTGATGTCTTAATTTGTAAGATTTCTACAAATTAAACATATACTGATTATCCTGAAGGAAAAGCACTAACGCAGGGCATGTCATAAGCACTTCTACTGGAGATATGATACACTGGCTATCAACAACTCAGTTCATACTTAAATGATACAACTATATTTAGAACCTTACTGCATAAAAGATGAAGAATCTGAAGTAACATACAAGTACGTTGATTACCAGCATAATCTATTCACCCATATCTCACAATTTTTCAAACGTAACTTTCTCACCTCTGTATCACCTGCATTACAGACTACATATTGAGCAGCCTGGTTAATACCCCCTCATTTCCTACTCCTCCCCCCGCCCATGACTTATTTTCCAACAGGCTGAGAAATTATTATGGGAGTAGAAAGTCTTACATCTCCCCATACTCTGGGGGGGGCAAAAATAGTGAGGAACAGATACAGTCAACAAAACGACAGGATAGAGTTAAGATAGCTTTCTTGAAAATACATATTCACATACATGGAAGTTACCGAACAGAATATGCTGAAAGAGCTAATGCAGGTATTGCCTGACTCAATATGGAAGGGAAAACCTCTAAAAACATGTAAACATGATATTTGATATTAAAGGTGAAACATTTTTTTAAATTGTAAATTTACTTTGTCTGCAGTGTTTTTATCATTACTGAAGTCAACAAAAAAGGTGAAGTTTAATAAAAATATACCTGGTTTGTGTATCAAGATGAGTTCAGACAACTTTGACATTTTGTCACAGTTCAGATCCACTTAAAATACTTACCATATGTAATCTCTCCTTTTTCTTCTTCATCTACAGCTCTAAAAAGATGTGTAACGTTAATCTGTGACACACCCATGGCAGTCTTCAGAATATGAGCTAAATCCTCTTCTGTTATAGTGCCATTTTCTGACTGGTACAACTATGAATCAAGAAAGCAAGATAAATCATTGCAAAGCAGAATGCTAAGTCCTATAAACAGCACCATACTAAGAAGTTATGCAAAATTAAAATTTGGTATTGGAAATTCTAGTCACTCTCAGATGGATGTGATCTATTAAGGATTTCTGATTAGTCAGTGTAAGAGATAGCATTATTTTTAGTTCACCTGTGTACACTTAGAAAGTAAAGCTTGCTATATTCAGAAAAAAACTCCCTATGTTTACATGCATGAACACTGGAATTTCAGTGATATTCAGAGACAAGACTGTTTAACACTAACATGTTTTGTAGAACTAAGAATAATTTTTAGGCCATTGAGCTCTGCGTCCAAACTCCAAGAGAGTCTGTGGAATCAGGAGATATATTTAGGTCAGCCTAAAGCAGACACCGTTTCCACTTGGTCAGATGTAAAACTAAAGATTCTTTGACCAAAGTCCAACTGATTATGACAGCCAGTTTGCATAAAATGCCTAAATCTAAATGGCATTATATTAATCAGGAGAATCCTACCCCATATAGTAATGGGCCTATCATTTTCTACAAAGACTTATTCTAGAACATAATAATTTGAATATTCTTAAGTCCTGAAGCAACAGGGTTCCTCACAGAAAGAGTTAGCTTTACTACTGACAGGATATTGATAACTAAAAATAATTGTTCAGTCTCATTCTATCGTCGTATATGTACAGTGTTTTGCCCTGGAAAAAGGACTTGAATATTTCAAAACATCTGTAATAAATACAGCTTCATTCAACTTTCTAAAATAACTCAACTTCTCTGTGGTGTAAATTGAGACAGGAGAGTTTCTGAAACATCCTTGACTCATTTTCAAGGATGACAACACTGCAAATTACTGAGCCACGTAAAAAACGCTATTTTGGAAACTTCCTTTTAGTTTCTCTACGTCACTGAGAAGGTGGAAACCGATGAGATTGAACAAAAATGGCATAAGGATGCATTTTTCACACAAAACCAGAAGTTGCTGTCATAAGACAGCACACCTCAATGGAATTAAAAAAAACTAAAATTTGAAGTTCTGCAGAAGACAACATTCATGCTCATATCAAGAATCTTGCCTTTTCTTCCCTAGCACCTAACCTACACACTGTTTCACAAGGAGTAGGGCCAAGGACAAGACACTTTGTGTAACAAAACCTCCTCTGTCTTCACAGATCAAGTAGTCAGAAAGTGATACTTGATGGTAAGGCTCACAAGCATCACATTGGCAAGATCTCCACCCTTTAGTTACCTTAGCAGTTCGGAAGGGAGGACGCGTAGCACTTACACCGGAGTGCTGCTCTTACACCTGATTGCTATAATCCCCCCTTCTCTAAATTGCCTACCACTTTAGAAATCTGGTGGCTCAGTAACTATTTTTTCAGGTTCTTCAAGCCACATACTAAACAGTTCCACTTTGAAAACTTGTTCAGCTATGTGAAATGTTGTACTTTATCTCTGAAAACAAATGACAAAGTGCTTTCCAAAAGGTAGCACATGGCAGAGGACAGCACCTGTTCGAAGTCACACATTCATGAACTAGCTAGGTCCTTCAATGGCTCCAAATAAGCTGTGTGAATATCTTACTGTACATGAACCCGTGACAGGAGGGAAGAAAGGATTATAAAGAAAAAAAATTAAGAAAAACCCCCAAAGGTTCTCTTTCCCTTTTTTCTAGAATACTGCAAGTCAAAATTTCCTCAGCTCAAGACTTTTTTTAACCCTTCCAATCATCACTAGTGGGATAAAATGAGCCATGCCTGCTTCCCCTTGCTGACTTCTTAATACATGCAGAGAACTTCTCTGCAGGTCTACAGTTAACTTTATATTTTGCAATTAACCAGGGAACTTGAAATTATATATTATGAGTTGAAGAACAGAGCAGATAGTGAAGAACAGAAATTTTCTAAAAAAACTCCTATTAACTTTAATTTAGGTGCTCCTAAAGAAAATAACCACCCAATCTGAGCCTTTCTTCTTCTAAAATGCTGAAAGTATATTTCACATTATGCTTCATGAGAGCTAAATTCCACTGAAAACTGCCCAAAAGCCACCTTCAAGTTTACTTCAAGCTTGTTCATTTTAGTATGAAGGCACAGAGCTCAAACAGCACCTGATGATTTCTCTGTGCCGTTATATAGATCAAATGGAGTAAGAAAGAGCAGAGATCTTTCTGCTTTTCCCTCAGAAGTAGCAGTAACAGCAGCTATTAGAGGCATACTTCCCTCAATATTTGGAGGAACTAAATATTTTTGTTCCTTCCTCCTTTGTCAAATTTGTTTGATACTGGCCAAAGGGTAAGAATGATAGCTGTGAACACTAAACATTCACAAAAGTCTCATTTCTTCAGCAAAACATAGTTAAGAGAATAATACAGGTATGTTGAAGAACCCGAAAACAAGTACTCAGAAAATAAGGCTGTCACGTAGTACCATGCAACAGAATGCTCTCAACTCCATGCATTCAAGAGTGAAGACAGCATCAAGAGTTGGTACTTTTCAGTTTCAGTAACACTAAAGACCATGTGAGTTCATAGCAAGGGGAAAAGATGATGCAGGGTTTGGTGCTGAAATAGCAATATTAAAGGAATTAAAAAGTAATAAAACAAGGTGTCAGACAAATCCACCGCAATGGCAAACATTAAGTATTGCTGTTGTCACTTCCCCAAAAAGCCTGCATTAACTATCTGTGCTGATGCTACAACAAACCCCTGAGGCTAGAATAACATCAAGAGCACTTCTGGGAAGCATAAACTGAGCAGAGACTGCAAGACCAACACAGAAACAACAGTAAGACTGAGGGAATAAAACCTTACCATGAAAATAAGACGAGGTAAAAAAGATAATATATACTAACATGTAGGAAAAGTTTTAAAATCTTTTATTAACTTTAAAAATAAGATTTGATTGAAACATTCTAAAAAGAAGAAAGCACAACTCATTAGCCTTTAGTTTAGATGAATCAATATGAAGGACTTGAGAGACTCAGTGTGCTGAAAAGATTCTACCAGAATTCCAGAGAACAATTTCAAACTGCAAACTTCCATAATTTTATACAACTCAAACCTGCCATGTGTTCCCTCTGACCCTCTTAATCCAACCTTCCATTACTGTTACTTTAAAATATAATTAAGAATTAAAAGGGCATGTGAAACAAGCTTCTGTTAAGTCCAATAGCAATATTAATATTTTCAAAATATAAGTGAACTACATGGAGGAAGAAAAATGCTGCTTACCTGAAATGCCAGCTGAATTGTTTCCAGAGTTTTGGATGGCTTACAGACAACTGACAGAGCAATGACAAATTCCCGAATGTCAATTATGCCATCTTCATTCTGTGAAGGAAAACCTCACCTCAAAATACTGCAATTTGTCTGAGAACTTCCATAAATAACTAACAGTTGCTAAAGATGCAGACTATTCAGAAAGATCATTAAAGATGCCACTACAAAAAAAGTCTCAGTAGAATAGAATTACATCAGGTCAAGAATCTGAGTCATCAAAGCTCTACAGGACCTTTCAGAGTCTCAGTCAAGAAGTCATAATTCAAATGTTCTTGGAACACAGTGCTGCTGCTGTCACCCTTCACTTGTATATTTAAGGTTTTTATATTAAACCATCTGAATTACTGGGTTAAAATTAAAACTGGAGAACCAGAAGCAAGGTAGCCTAATTTAAGCCCTGAATACATGACATCTACTCTTTGGTCTACAAGAGAACACCGTGAACATATCCATCTCCTGGTCCAAACAGCACCTCATCCAAAAGATAATAGTCATTTCCCCTTTCTGACTGATTGCCAGAGGATTGAAAAAATGGCTCATTTGCCAAGTTCCTAGGCCCCTCAAGTTTTGGGCATCCTACAAGAACAAATGATTTATTTACAAGGCAAGTGAAATATCAGCTAATAAGCACTGCATTCAGTTGCAACATGCAGCATCAAAGGTTTAGCCTGAACTCATCTTTCTTCCTCTTCATATTTTGCAACTAGAAAGAAAATTAGTTTTGTCCAACTGGTACTCCTTTTAACTTCTACCTGAATTAATGCTTCATTTAGTTGATGATGGGTGCTCTTACCTTGCTGAAAAGGAAATGCAGTAGGCAAATACTATGGTGAAGTGCTCAAAAGCCCTTAGCACTGGCCCAAAAAGAGACCTCTGAATTCAACTGGAACAGAATTAGGCTAAAGTGGAGTTGACCAAAGTAGTACAATTTCTTACCTCATCAAAAAGCGCAAACATACTTTCTAATAAGTGAGAAACTGGAAATTCCAAGTATGCTGAAAATTCTTTAAGATTGACCTTTTCTTTCTTCATTTTCATGGCACTTGCGGCATATTTATCAAGATCATCTTCAAGTGTTTCTGGCTTCAACCTACAAAGCATATTATTTTTGCACATTTCAAAAGTAAACCCAGTTTTAACACCACAAATTTCAATATACCAAATGAAGCAATGGATGATAATGGTGTAAAACATTATGCAATCTGGAATTATTAAGCAATTTTATTATAAAATAACGTATTCCTATAATTTTAAGGCTCCCATCAGTTCTTGAACTGTATTAGAAATTACTGCACAGGCTCAGGAACCCTGGTCATAAACTTGTATCCTTTGTTCTACTTTGATTATAAGCTGTATGTGTAAGCAGTTAAACAGAAACAAGAAACACAATCTAGAACTAGCTAATAAATATCAGGCATGGAGAACTACGTGGGATTTAGGTCACAGAATCATGGAATCGTCTGGGTTGGAAAAGACCTTGAAGATCATCTGGTCCAACCATTAACCTAACACTGACAGTTCCCAACTACACCAGATCCCTCAGCGCTATGTCGACCCAACTCTTAAACACCTCCAGGGATGGGGACTCCACCACCTCCCTGGGCAGCCTATTCCAACACCTCACAACCAGTTCTGTACAGAAATGCTTCCTAATATCCAGTCTAAACCTTCCCTGGTGCAACTTGAGGCCATTACCTCTTGTCCTGTCACTTACTACTTGGTTAAAGAGACATAAAGAGACATGTTTCCAAATTTATTAATGTCACTGAGCATGATGCATCTTGCCTAAAAGAAATCAGGGATTATATAATAATGATTATACAGTTAATCCTGTTTGTCAGTTCTCATTTTTTACATTCAGTCCAGAGTTGGACACTTACAAGGCGACCCAAGCAAAGTTATAGCAGTTAATACAGCTACAGAAATTCCCTCAGTCCTTCCAATTGCAAAACCAGATTTTGACTGATGAATAAACAGCTTTACATTTATGCAAGTATCTACTGCATGGTGGTTGTTAGTTTGTTGGGGTTTTTTGAGGGTTTTGTTGGTTTTGTGGGTTTTTTTGTTTTGTTTTTGGTTTTTTTTTGCTAAATCAAGCTTCCTGTTTTCAGTTTGTGAAAAAAATCTTGCTATGAATATAAAAACGGTGCTGCAAGTATGTGGGGAAAAGTAAATTCCCTCCTTAATACAACATCAGCCAAATCTTTATCAGCAGGTTTCCTCTGAACTCATTTACTGTAATGTGTGGATCCAAACATTCTAGCCCAAAGACAAAAGAAGCCAATAAAGTCTTCTACAATATTCTTCTGCAGCTGTCTGTTTTGCTGTTTACTGCTGCAGACAAGAAAAAGTTATTTACAGAACTCACAAGCTCACACCAGAATTGTTCCCAGACTGCAGCTGGGACTCTTCAGCAGCTTCCTCTCAGTGACAAGAATGAATAAAATACTTAATATCAGCATTCTCAGGAGCTTCTGAAAAAAGATAAGAGCATTTCTGATAGGAAGATTATCTGATATGTCAGCTCCAGACCTTGATCACTTGCTGAAATGACCCTTCCTAAAAATAAATGGTTTTAAGTAAAAACACTACTATGCTGCCTGTGATTACCTAAACTGACTTACCAAAAATGTACTAACTAAACAACACCAAGCCCTGTATTTCTGAAGTATAAGACCTGAACATGAAAGAATTCTTCTAGAGACCCATGGCCCCTACAGAACATTTGTATGTTCTCTATCTTGGCATTAAAGCACCTATCTTAAGTTTTGGTCCTAGACAGTATAAAAAGAGCAGCAAAAGACTCCTCTGCAAACATTAATTTTCCATGATCAAGTAGAAAAGTAGCAGTAACAATCACAAAGGAATCCATGGAGGATTTGAGATGCACACAGTACTCAACTTCTCACATGCAGGATTACATATAAGAAGCATCCACAGATAATACATCCCCCATTGTAGTAGTTGAAATGGATTTTAACTGTAGGATGAGGACAGCTGGCATCCAAATCCTCCCCTGAGATAAGCCACTACTGACACAGAACACGCAGTCTAACATCTGTCTCTAAATCAGAGAGATTTGATTTGCAATGAATTGACTCAAAATTCACCTTCTACAACTGAGGGAGTACTTGTTCGGTGAGTAGTATTTGAGATTAGTGAAATCTCCTCTTCACCCCTCAGTGAAGTGCAAAAAGCTAAAAAGTTTGAAGCCAAAACTTGTATGGAAAGTAGCATGGTTTACCATTAATCTTACAAACATCTTGTGGTTTGGGTTTTGTATAGAAAGAGGTGTGAGCCAATCTCAAAAAAAAGCATGTGGATCAGTGAGGCAAACATTGCTTCAGCTTGAGTATGAGTGCATTGTACTTCTGGTAATCCAAGGTGGGCTCACTTCCCTCTAGCCATTTCACAATCAGGAAGTAATTGATAGTGGATTACTATGCTGAAAGTCTTTTGAAGCCAAGTGTTCCAAATCTTCTGAACCTACGTGGAATGGTTTGAATGTCTCTTTTCAAATTGTTACTTTTATCCTACTGGAGGCTATAAAAGCTAGAAAGCCAACAGTGGATATCTCTGGTCATGAAATCATGATTGTTTGCCTAATGGCTTCCATTCAAGATCTAGGCTTTAGGATACATAACATTATTTGCTGTTGTGGTGTTTTGCTTCATTTTTCAGGCCAGTGCACCCCAAAGAGAACAAAGTAATTTCCAAGTCCCTGAAGATGGAAAGGACATTCTTCAAGATTAACAGTTCTGAACATTAAACCCTTCACAGCAGACTTTGCAGGGAAAAACAGATCCCTAAAGGTAGGTTATTTTTTTAGCAGAATTACCACTATTAGCAAGGTAGATGTCTTACCTCCTTAAAGTTAGTTTTAGCTGCATTTGACTATTTGAGAACAAACTCCTTTCTTGCATGCTGGCACCCTGCCAGAAACCTTCTAGTGTCTCATAGAGCTGGAAGTTGTGTAAGAACAGCTGATCTTGTAGCTAGCTACTGTAAACTGCAAGCAGAGAAACATGCCTTATGCCAAAAAAGCACACCCTGCCTTGATCCACTCAGCAGAGGCTATCATGGTTAGCCTGATCTGTGATTACCTTTAATGGACAGTATTGCTTTTATCATGAATACAGATGAACATCCTCCACAAGGTTTTTTTCTTGCTATAGATGATCTCTGAGCACTATGAAGTCATGGCACTGTTAGTTATCTGCCAGGGTTATTACTTTGGGGATGCAAAGCTCCTCCTACAGTCTGGACCACCAGTTCAGGCACATATGGACAGCAGAAGTTTGCTGTCTGGATAGTAAAGGCTGTTGACCAAGAATAAACAGGCACCAGACCTATGAGGTAATTATCTCCTCCTTGCAGATCTTACGATCTGCCCTATAGGGGCATTGCCTAATAGGATCCTCGTGGTCAACAGGATGAGATAATATTGGAGACTAGTGGTCAAAATGGAACTGATGTTTAATTCAGGTCATTCTTACCAAAATACTTTTGGTAAGAGACAGCAGAATTGATTCAACACAAGTAGGTTTACTAATTTTGAATTTTTCCAGGGAGTGTAAGGAGGTAAATCCTGCAGGCTAGCTAAGGTTGTAGGTTCCAGGGCAGACATCACTAGTACCCATCACATCATACCCAGGCTCAGGAAAACAAAAGAGATAGTTAAAGATCCTAAAAGAATTCCAACATAAATTGCTGCCAATTGTTAAAGACAGTAGGGTTACTCTTAGTAATTTTTGAGAAAGTCAAGAAGTGTAGAAGGCAAGAACAGGGGATTTTTCTGAAATCTGACCTGAAAAAGATGATTTGGTGCAAACCATACCTTTTAAAAGTAGAAGACATAATCTGCAAAGCCATACTGTCTTCAGTGAAAAGTACCAAGGACCTCAGTCTGTATACTAAATGCACGCACCAGATCAAGAACCTGCCAGATGAAAGGGTCTTGTGCTACATGGATACCAATATTAAAACACACATTCACCAGGATACCATATTACATTCTTGCTGTACTTTCTATCCTTATTGCTTTTTGTTGCACAAAGTGGAAGCCAACTACCATACTGGAAGAGAAAATGTATCATCTTGTACAAGTACCAGTGCTGCCTAGCCGTCAAAAAATATTAGAAAATAGATTAAAAATATTAATTTAAAAATAATATTTGCCAAAAAGACTTCAAGTAAATAAGAAAAAATAACAAGTAGAAAACAGCAACTAAACCAGAAGGATGTGACACACATCCAGACTTGCTAAACATTCCAAATCATACCTTGGGTTTTTAAAAGTGAAAGATTTGGAAGAAAAAAAAAAAACACAAAACAGGAAGCAATTAAGTAAATAATGCAGTAGCAGAGAACTGAATGTTAACAAATTGAAAGGTAGACAGAAAGCAAGAGAAAAGAGATCAGTAAAAAAAAAAAATCAAGATAAACAAACAGATGATCCTTAATCTGGCTAGAAGTGTGATGAGGCTACTAATACTTCCTCCCCTCCCCCCCAAAGATGCAAAAGGCCTGGACCACTAGAATTACTTGAGCAAAATTTCAGATTACTTCAAGACCTGATTTTATAAGCCTAATCCAACAGTAAAGAGAACACAGTCTCTAAAAAATTTCTACTTTGGATTGCAATATGTGCTATGTTTGGTGACCCCCCCAATTTTCAGAAAATAAAACAATTAACCTTGAGAATAATCACAACTAAAAAAAAAATTAGGAACTCATTTGATGGCCTAAAAGTCACTGTTACATATGAAAGGGGAACAACAGTTAAGGCTAGAAGGTCCTTCTAGTTCACAGGCAAAGTGAATGCAGGAATTAGAATGAACAGAAGTTAGCGACAATAGGAACAAATCAATTTAAATCAGAACTTAGTGATCTTCGTGCAGGCAAGTGCCCTAAAGCAGCTCATAAAAAGTATTTCATAAAAAGATGGAGGTGAGAATTATACTGTATTAACACTTTCTGGAAGAGAAAATATCTGAAAAGGTCTGTAATAAGGCACAAAATCCAAATAAGCTTCAATGTCTAGAACATGGTAATAGATCCAGTCAAAGTACAAATACCAAATCACTTTAAACAGTAGGGTAATTAATTGTGGCATACATCATCAATTGAAGCAGAAGATTTATAATGTATGAAAGCTACAATAAAGAGTGCATATAGCTTAGTCATTAGCTCATTGGTCAAATTATCAGGCTCAAGAGAAGCATAACTGCTTGAGAACTAATGAATGCAGAATTTGAGAAGATGGGAGTCTGATCAGTTGATCTCATTGTTAGAGCAGTCAATTTACCCCAGAGTTCAATATAAGGCAGCCAAGTTTCAGACAGCTGTGACCTGGCAGCAGTAGCTGCATGGCTTCTGGATTGGATCCCATACAGCTGAGCACAGACGAAGCAAATTCTACACAGTGTTAATAAATCCTGTACATAGATAATGTGTACAGAAATAACTCTCCAGTACAGCAAACTGAGGTATAACTTGATTTCAATCAATCTAAACCAAAAACATGTCTAGATTTGCCTTACTATAGAAATCTTGCATTTAAAACTAGATGTTGCCTTGAAGGTATGTTATTGCTCAAAAACAAGTATTAAGACTGGATGCAAAATCCATTGGATGAAATTTACTGTTCCAGTTATTTAGGGATGTGACTGGATGATCTTAATGCCTTCCTGGCCTCAAAATCCTTTGAATAAACAGCAAAATGACTGCATTGCCAAACGTGCATTAGAGATGAAGCCATATTACAATCTTCATCCAATTGTGCCAGAAAAATACCATCATAATAGCCTTCTTACTGGCACATATCCAAATCAAGACAGAAAAACACTTCACCAATGTACAATTGCTCAAACCAGACAGAGACCTTTTGGGTTGTGGGGAGCCTCACTCAGAAATGCACATAATTGTTTTAGAGGCAAAAACAAAAACACAGAAAAGCATAATCTCACAGAAAAGCTTAAATTGAGCAGACAGAAGTCAGACAATTTAACAAGAGGATTAAACTGAATCCTGGGATTATCAACTGCATAATAAAGAGACATGGGTGTTTTTTTGGGTTATTTTTGTTTTGTTTGCTTTCTTTTCTTATTTCTGTGAATTCAGAGCCTTTGGAACAAAGCAAGAATCTGCTTCCCCTAAGAAGTCTCTCCTATACTACTGGAAGTCTTTACAGGTGGAGGTTCCAACAATTAACATACACTTGTAATCTGAATGCATAATGTATGCTGTCCTACATTCCTTATTCTCCAATAGATTTTTTTTCATTTATATACACAAGCTAGAAGGTGAAGGAAAAATTAGTGAACGGAAATAAAGTATGGAATGGAAATGTGAAACTATCGTCTACACTTTCAGGTAAGGAGACAAAAAATGGAAAAGGGTGTTTTATATTAAAGGAGTTAATAGAATGCAGCTCTAAATAATCAGTTTGTGGTAGTTCAATAGGATGACAGCAGAAACAGGAGAAAAACTGGAAAACAGCAGCAACAAGAAGAGAGGAGCCACACTGCATATACTAAGCTACAGTTCCATTAAAAAGTCCATTTAGCAGTAACCTACTCAAAAGATCAACCACCACTTTGTGCTTCTTGGGCAAGGGTGACCCCTCTGCCCTCACTATTATAACATTAATCCAGTCACAAGACTGCTATAGCAATGCTGTTCTCCCTTCACAGATGTCACAGGAAAGGGCAATTGACTCTTAACTGTTTCAGTTATTAGGAATCCCACAGTATTCCTGGCTGTCTTCAGGAGATTTCTTCTAGTTTTGTTCAGGAATGAACACTTCAGAAACACTGCTCACTTATCAGACTATAAAAATATTAATTTTACAACCTACCCTACTCATAAGGATCTAGGGGTGCTGCAAGTTGAGAACAGTATTGTTTTAATTTTCTACTAGTGTTTCCCCAACTGTAGTATGACAACACTCCATATATATTCATAAATGCAATATTGTTATATGAAGAGAAAACTATATAAACATAGATATATAATAAAGATGGACCTTACATATAAATATTGTATATGCTCACCCAAGGCTTCTCACAAGCTTTGCAAATTCTAAGAGACACGTATCTGAAGGCAGACGAAGTTGTCCTTCAGCCAAAGCTAGCTGACAGTCTTCAAATGTATAGTCTGTCACTGAAACACCCAATGCCCTTGAATAAACCGAAGAAACACAGTAAGAGATATAATCTAAGCAAACTGAGCAAATCTTTTTTTTTTTTTAATATCAAGAAATCCTGTAACAATTATACTCTCTATTCTGAAGAACTATAAAGAACAACCCATAAAAGAAAGTTCACATACAAAGAATGTAATATGGTACTCTACCCATTGCAGAACATCTATTTTGACTTTATAAAGTACATGAAAATGTAAAAGAGCACAAGGGAAGAAGTAGGCAGCGCACAGACGTTCAAATTCCTTAATATTTTCATAGAGAATAACAAAAGTTTCAAAATTATTAATCTAGAGCAAACACATATTTATTAATAATTCTATTAAATATTTATATTATTATTACATTACATTATATATACACATTATAATAAATCAATAATCACTTGAACAGGACAATTATTACCTTCAGGTAATATTAAAATTATACAACAGGCAACATTTCTCTACAGAGAACGGCAAGAACATAAAGTATGAAAGCAAGCAGAGTTAAAACTCCAAGCAAAAATGTTAAGTGTTTGACATAAGAAAGATAGAAGAAAAAATACTCCCAAGTTTCTATATGCCAAACAATTAAGTCCTCATTTTTTATTTACTTCTAACTTGATGCTCTCTAGCAGCACCAAAAGATACTTCAAGGAAATCCTGATATTGTAGTTGCAGTGCATTTGTTGCGTCAAAGTTGAGACACTTTGGTTTGGAAGAAACCTTTGAGAACTCAGTGTACAAAAGATGCGATTTAGAAAAGCAAGCACTGCTCCATGAGTGCACATGCCATGTTTTCCATTATACTTGATTTTACTTATATTAGTACAGAACACTATCTCCTTTGTGCAGCCTTTTCTAGTTTGATGAAAAGTCTTCACAAAAATTTATTTCTTGACTTACCTTCATTCTTTTCATCTACAGGTTCTTCTACCTTACTACTAACAACTTTTATTCATCTGTGAAGTTAATATACAGTAATGGCAAGACTGATAAAAAAACCCAAGGCATGCCACAGTCACTTTGGCTTTGATGAAAACTCTACACTTTACTATAGACAGTTTGATCCGTAATGGCAGTTACCTCCTGTACAATAACCACTTAATTTCTGTTAAGTAGCCTCTTCCCCAGAATCTCATTACAAGACCTTTGAATGTCAATGTAAATAACATAAGCCAGTTCTCTTATCCACCAATTAATTGTCAAACTTCAGGAATTCTAATACACTAGTAAGACATACACTTAACATTAAGGCTACTGATCAGGGTTTCTCTCTTATTTCTAAGGCTAAGTCAAATCTTCAGGAAGAACAGCTCAGTATTAAAGATCAGAAGTACCAAATATGTACCAAAAATCAGATTTTTTTTTTTTTATAAGTTACTTATGAATAAAACAAGGACATACAGGGTAGTGATTCTACATGAAGAACTTCCCCAGCCCCCAAAGAAACAACAAACAGGAAGGAACAAAAGGAAAAAGCCAACTAAACCAAAAAGATACAGGTATATAGAAAAGGTATCTTAAAATCCTGCAGACTGGTGAAGGTTGGATTGCTCATATGGGTGATCCTAAGCAATTAAATTCAGTTTCTCCCAATTTTTCGCTTCTTGATCTGTTCCTGTTTCATCCCTCTACTCCTCCTATGAAAAGTGTCAGTATCTGCAAATCAGTAAACCACTTCAATGGAATGGACAAGAGGTTCTTGCAATACCATATTTCATCCTGTAGGCTTATGGCTAACATTGTAATGAACTTTGTGTAAAATCCAGATGATTAAATCCCCCATGCTGTGGGGATTTAAATCAGTTTCCAAGTTCCACCTGACTTAGAGATCAGGTATTGCAGGTCTTTTCAATACTCATATGATATTCAATATAGCATTGTATTACACTATATAAAGTCATTAGTATTATACAATACAAAATACATTTTCCTTGAAAGATGAAAAAGGGGTGAATTAAAGAAGAAGAGTCTATCCTGCCAGTTTAGAATACTTCCTATTCGCTTTTGTTCTGTGTGCACACTAGACCATCCTTGTAAACTTCCCTGTCAACTGTCAGTGAAATAGCTGAACTCTTAGGCCAGCAAGGATACACTATAAGCAGTACTATCCAGAGTGGCTTACTGAAAAGAATGCAGTAATAACCAAAGCCCTTATCCAGCCAGGCACATTACACCACATTTCATCAGATCTCAAGGCAACAGTAGGTATAGCACACAACAGAAATACAGGAACTTGTGGGTGATCAGCTGAAGCATACAGCAACTACACAGAAAAGGGGAAGCTGGTTAAAAATAAGGTAGAAGAAGAAACTGAAAGGGTAGTGTTCATTTGTGAGTACAACAGACCAGGCAAGTTATCAAAAAAGATTCTAAAAGGACAAAAAAATACCCAGTATGACTCAGCAAATGATTAAAGGTGGCAATTAGACTGTAAATACTTTTTTTTTTTTTTAAAAAAAAAAAACCCACATGTTCTCACAAGGAAAACTGAGAAGACAAACAAGTTAAAACATAACCATAAGGTGGCAAGCCACAGCAAGAAACAATAGGTTGTTAAAACTAAAAGGTAGAAGCTTTTCAAGCACATCAAAAGAAAGATGACTAAGAAAGATCAGGCTGCTCAACCTGGCAGGAGGGTAGAAGCCTGACTATCACCCCAGAATGAATGTCAGATTTAAATAACTTCTTCTAAATAATAGTCTTCAAACATGTTGAAGGAGCCTAACCAAAGAGGAATTAAAAATCAAACCAAAAAGTAACAACCAACTGACCAAAGGCAAACTTATGATACAGAATAAGTTTCAAACAAAAGCAGGGATCATCTCAGACTCAGCAAAATCGCAAGGGAAAAATACAACCTGTATCTTTTTATAGCTGTGCGCACCCCTCACAGAAGGAGCGGTATGTGGGTCAGACTTAGTGCTATCAGTACAGGAAAATGCCCATTACAGTTAATGCCTGCATGTATGCCCAGTGTCAACACATACACAAAACAGGATTGAGACAGATAAAAGCATCTTCTCTTGCACTCCTGATGACAGTTTTCCAGACTTTGGACTTCCAAATAAACCCCCAAAAAAACAAACAAAAAAACCCCCAAACAAACAAAAAAAAGAACCGAACCAGCATGTTTATATATACATCCAGACTTGGAGAATTACAAAGATCAAAAGTAAAGAAGGGGAAGAAACAACTTTTGCTCAACATAAAGTTCATAGGGTCAATCAGGGCCAGAGAAATTAAGAGTTCAAGGGACTCCTGAGTTCAGAAGATAAATCACAGGCTGTATAGGGCTAGCAGTTTAATACAAAAGGACCATGATTTCAGCTCAGAATGTTGAAGAAATTGAAGCTGGGTAACACATAAAGTTCATTATTTGTGCTGACACTTGTGAATATTTCAATTTCTTACAATAAAGACTGACATACTAGAGTTCACTGTAAAGCCTGGGTAAAACTGCAACTCCCAGGACTTTTTACAGAACCAGTTAAACTATTCTAATTTATCTCCAGGGCAATCTTTCTGTACTTTAGTTCAAGTGCTAGGGGAAGAAAAAAAAAAAAAAAAAAAAGGAGATGGAAATTGCAATTGCAACCCAATTTTTTTAGTAAACTAGCAATATAACAGATTTTCCCAGATCTTCATTTGGAAGCTCCACACCCCCACACCCACCCCCCTTCTTTTCTTCATACTACCTCTGCTTTCACAGTCAGTTAATCTGAGGCTGGCCTTTTTAATGTTCAGCAATTTTACATGGCCAGGCATGCATGTCTGGCTTGACATACCTTGAGACTTTTTCCCTCCCTACCTTCCCTGAAATGCTGGCTATTTACCTTTCATGATATCACACTACATGAAATTCCAAAGTCAGCAAGTCACTACAAAAAAAATAAAAGCAAACCACAGTCAAACCAAAAACCCAAAAGCCCTCCTGCAAACCCAATCTGTTACACACAACAGTTGTACTTGTTATACCCTGACTTCTCACACCAAACAGCTCCCTATGTCTAACACTTGTGCAGTCATAAAAATAAATTATCAAGTTTCTCATTTTCTGCATACCAATCCACTACGCATGCAAAATTCTGAACATAAAACAGAATGTCACTTCTGTAATATTATGCAAAGTGAGAGAAAATAGCACAAGCAATATTGTGACATTCTGAATGGATGCTTCAACAAAAACATTTTCAAAATGTTTTACATAGTTAATAAGAAGATCTGTGAACTAATCTAGAAAATATCCCACAGGCTTGCTCAAAAAAAACCCCCTTTAAATCGGCTATAATTTTTATAGGGTGTTGAAAAGAAAACATTAAAAAGATATTACATTTGGTATTTTACTTGACTATCATATGTTTAGGAAAAAGACATACAAAACATGGTGGACAAATAACCCTGGCTTCTAGTAGTCATCTGTATGAGAACTTACTGAACCAGAGACTATTTGTGCCACTATGTTTTAGAATCAAGATGTACCAAATTTTTTACAGTATATCTCAGCTCTGATTAATTCATTTTATGCATCTAGTAGTGAATGCCACAAATTTGTACATGTTTTAATTCCATTTCATTTCATCTGATTTACTGTTGAGTGCTTGCTATCTCTTTGCTGTGGAAAGTAACAGACTTACCTTGCTATGAGTTTCCAGAACATTCATGATTTTATTGACCTTCAAAACAGACTTCCACTTCTTTTTGTCTTTTTCCTTCTTTCTTTCCCAAGCTGAAGAGCTTTCACCTATTTAGTTTTGGAAGGCCAGGGTAGATAGCCCCTTTCTCTCCTTGGACTACTACTACTTTGTGACATTCTCCAAGTAAATGAAGGTCCAGTCATAAGAGTCTGGAGTTCACTTCAAGAATATAGTATCACATGATGGTTTATTTTTAGACAGAAAAAGAAGCTGCTAACAACTGCATTTATCCCTTGTGTTTAGAAAATGGGTCCTTGAAATTAGTGGTCTTGTAGGCTTATGTATCACAATTCCTC